TTTTTTTTTTTTTTTTTTTCATTTTTAGAAATGAGTGTTGGGCTGGAGAGATGGCTCAGTCGTTTAGAGCACTGTCTGCTTTTCCAGAGGTTCTGAGTTAAATTCCCAGCAACCACATGGTGGCTCACAACCATCTATACTGGGATCTGATGCCCTATTCTGGCACTCATAAAACAAAACAAAACAAAAAAAACCAACTAACCAACCAACCAAACAAACAAACAAAAAAACCAAATAGAAATGAGTGTTTTCCAAGGGAAAATGTTTCAGAGAGAGACAGAGACAGAGAGACAAAGACAGAGAAAAAGAGTCAGTAATAGACAAGAAGACAGGGGTGCAGAGGCTGGAAGAGGGCATTGGATCCCCATGGAGTTGGAGTTAAAGGTGGTTGTGAGACGCCTGATGAAGATACTGGGAACACAACTCAGTTCCTCTGCAAGAACAGCCACTGCTGAGCCATCTGAAAAACACCAACTTAGCTCATTTGTAACTTTTTTTTTTTTTAACTTTTTGTGTCTTAGGAATATTAAAAGGTGTAAAGGTTTGTTCCTGTTTTCTCCTAACTGCCACTGAGGTAACTTAGTGGGGATCCCTGTACTGGAGATGAAAGCCTCTTGCAGGCCTGTTCCCACCCCTCTCCACGTCTATCTAAAAGGTGATCAGTGGACATAAATAAGGGGTCAGGAGTCTTCACCCTCAGTAGAGAAGCTCTTGTAGAGCGCCCTGGCTCCCAGGCTCCCAGCGCAGCTTCCTCTATCTACTTAGCCTTCTGAATGAAGCTGCAGAAACCGTTCACACTGCTACTCTTGCCTGCCCTCTGCTGGATATGTCCGTTTCTTGCTTTCACAGGGCTCTGTTTCTGAGGATCAGGCTGAGGATCTTCCCTCTGCAAAACCATGGGTTCTGCCTGGCCGCTCTAGATCCTCCTAGATCACAGCATGGCTGTGCCACTCCACCATCTGCAATTTTCTTCATACTGTGGATGAAACTCAGGCCCCTGGCATAACACACAAGGCGTTGTTACAGGGTGAAGTGTGATTACAATTGGAAGGAAGGAAAGAACTTGAAGACTATGCATAAGGACCTTAAAATGTTACTCATTTAGACAGCAGCGGGGTGGGAGCAGCAGTAGCTAGCACCTCCCAGTGACATAGTCTTCTTCTTGTCCCTGGTCTGAGGCCCTTGGCTCTGAAGACTTGGATGTTTTCTGGAACACTTCCAGCAGCCAGCACCTCCACTTTCTTTTCTCTGCTTCCTCACAGCCTTTCATTCTTTTCCAGTCTGGAGACCTTATCTCGCTGTCCTCGTTTACTCCTCCTTCCTTTTCCTTTCCTCTGGGCACTCCCAAGCTGTTCGATGGCTTTGCTTTGACTGTCAGGCTAGCATGGCTGTTCTGCGGCCCAGCCTGCCGGCACTCAGCTCTTGCCTCTGTTGCTTCTTCCATGTTACTCTTTCAGCCCACACTACTGAAGAGGGGTCAGAAAAGGCCACACAAAGAAAAGATGTTCCCAGGAGGGTGTCCCTGGGACAGCTCCTTCAAGTGACAAAGGTACTTGAGCCAATCTTAGCCTGCATCGCTTCTTCAGCTATTTGAACAAATCAGTCACAGCCTTGCGTCCTCAGCACCGATCACAGCGCAGCTCCTCTGCCATCAGACCGAGGGGCGTGGTAACCAAGCGACTTGCTCAGTGAGTTGGCATTCACTAACCCTTCCAGAAGCAAATCCTCTGATCCAAGCAACACCGAATGTGTATAGTTGCCTCAGGTAAAAGCTGGCTTTTGTCAAGTTCTTTCTATTATGTCTGCTGCATGGTAATGGGCTGGTTTGTGTGGACTTAAGGAAAAGCACCCCCACTAGCCCCCCCTTCAGTGTCTGCCTCTGTTGTGGAACCAAGTTAGGGCTGAGTCAAATCCTAACATGTCACTAACCAACCACGGAACTTCAAGTGTTGACTTAAACAGTTTGCTCTCAGCCCGCAGAGGGAGCACAGTCCCTGTAACACTGCTTTCTGCAAGTGAAAATGAATTCTCTACAGACCCACAGAAGGAAGGAGGTTGGGGATCCCCAGCAGTGTCCTGGTGTTCTCTCCCACAGGTGTTCAGTGCAGTTGGGATGCAACCCAAATTCAGGTAGAGGAGTGGCACCCCACCGCCAGGAAGCAGTTACTTTGCTCTGCGGATGAGGTGTGGGCTCCGTCTTTTTAATGCCAGCAGTAGCATTCTAGAGAAGAAAACACAGGTGCTAAGTTCTGATTTCTTAGTTAACTGCCTCATCCCCTTTCTTGCTACTGTGGCCATTGCTAAGGACATGAGTGACCACAACCTAGACTTAGGTCATCTTGTATTGGTCTCATTAGAAGGCAATTGATGAGATCTGACTCATGTAGATCAGATGAGCCTTTTGGACAGCATGTGTAGAAATGGCTGGGACACAGGGAAGAGCTACAAAGGGAGCACTGAAGTTGTTTTTGGAAAAGGAAGCAAGAGAACAAAGATCCCAGACTCCAGGAAAGTGTAAAACATGGAGGAACTTTTTGTATGGTGTGAGTTGGAGATACACAGGAAGTGATCTGTATTGTATGTATTTGCTCAGTGGTCAAAACTGTTTTCATTGTAAATGTCTGCATTAGGCAAGTTCTCTCCAAAGAACCCAACCGTGGATGGCCAGGTTGGGCAGGAAGGCAGAGCCGCAGTGGGATGGAGTGACTGACAGCTCAGGGAGCCTGGACACACAGTTCTGGATGGCAGCAGTCTACTTGTTCCCTGTGAGGGTAGGTAGCACCGTGGGGCAGGACCAGCCTCCTGGGTCATGTATTGGCTTTCTTCATCTTGAAAGTTGAACCTGGGGCTCACAAGTTACGTGGTCCATGTTTGGAGACTCCATTCTATTAGCGTATGGGGCTGGTGATGACCTTAGAACCTTGATCACAAACCCCAGTGGAGGCCTGGATTGGTGTCCACCCGGTGAATATTGATAATAAATAGAGTACAGAAGTGTGCAGCCCTTATCATTCAGGAGAACAAACTCGACATTTGGGAAGAGTCCAGGCCCCTGTTTCTCTCTGCTCACCTTTGGTCCAAGGTGAGCAGTCCATGAGAGCAGTGTGCTGCGTCAGCCCACTGTGTGGAACTGCCTCGGCTGGTCTTGTCCACGTGTGCTGCAGAGAGCAACAGCTCTGATTCCACTGTGTAGATAAAGAATTCTGAGTAGTCCACTCAGTAGATTCATGTCATGGGATCAAGGGAGAAAGAGAGAGAGGGAGAGAGAGAGAGAGAGAGAGAGAGAGAGAGAGGGAATCCTATCGCCGTTTTTCTAGCTGATTGGAAGCAGGATTGAGCAGGTGCCAAGGATAGATTTCTTCTGCAATGATTAATGTCTGGGAGCTTGTGCCACCCAATGACATGGCAAGGTTGGATGGGAGATAAAAAGATGAAGAAACAAATGTAAGGGTCATAGCCTGGTGAGGAAGATCTGCTCTTGTGGGCTCCTATTGAGATGGCCATGGGGCTCCAAGTGGCCCTGAAAGGATTAGTGGGGCTGCTCCTGCTGTGTGTCCTGCCCTGGGCTGAAGGTGCGAAGGTGTTGGTGTTCCCCTTAGAGGGCAGCCACTGGCTGAGCATGAGGGATGTTGTGAGGGAGCTCCATGCCCGAGGCCACCAGACTGTGGTCCTGGCTCCAGAAGTGTCTGCGCACATCAAAGGAGAGGACTTCTTCACCCTCAAAACCTATGCCATTCTGTACACGGACGAAGAATATACGCAAAACCTGACACAAAACGTTGGGCTGTTCTTTGAAACAGGAAACTATGTGAAGACATTCTTTAGAATATCTGAGGCTTTAAAAAACATGTCAGTGATTCTCTTCAAGTCTTGTACAGACCTTTTGTACAATAAGGCCCTGATCCAGCAACTGAACTCCAGCTCCTTTGACGTGCTTTTCACAGACCCAGTTTTTCCCTGTGGGGCAGTGCTGGCCAAGTACCTACAGATCCCTGCTGTGTTTTTTCTGCGCTACCTTCCCTGTGACATGGACTACGAGGCCACACAATGTCCAAACCCTTCCTCATATGTTCCGAGGCTGCTCACAAGGCATTCTGATCACATGAGCTTCCTGCAAAGGGTCAAGAACATGCTGTACCCTCTGGCCTTGAAGTACATATGTCATATGTTTTTTGCTAAATATGAGATCCTTGCCTCGGAGCTTTTGCAGAGAGAGGTGACCTTTGTGGATATCCTCAGCTATGCATCCGTGTGGCTGTTTCGAGGGGACTTTGTGTTCGACTACCCCAGGCCCATCATGCCCAACATGGTCTTCATTGGGGGCATAAACTGTGCCAACAGGAAGCCACTCTCTCAGGTCTGTACTGAATGAGGTCTTTAACCATTCAGGATTCCATGCAGAACATATTTTCTAATGCTAACTTTCCTTCTGAGTCTGTACATGTGTCTGTATACCGTTTTCCTGAGGGTGAGCTTTCCTGAATGTGGGGCAAGAACAGAGACACTGAGCTGTGACCTGACCTATTATGAGGAGTGCTACCTGCACATTCCTAGGAGAGGGATAAAGGAATTTCAAATCACAGTTGTTGGTTCCACGAGAACATTCGAGGTTTCCCATTTCCTAGTCACCTCCAATGTCTTTCCTTAGTGTTAAAAACGTCTTCATTGTCGAGTTCTTTTACAGCCTCAGTTAGCTTTTTTCTTTTTTGAGACAATTTTAATGGGATCGTGTTCTTGCTACTTTCACAATGTGTTTGCCATTGGTGATTAGGAAGACAACTGCTAATTTCACATTCTACCACATTGAAGAAAGTGTTTCTCATCTCTAAGAACTTCAGGTGGAGTCTTTAAGGTTGCTTCTGGGCACAGCCATGTCATATGCAAAAGAGGATACTTATCTTCCTTTTTCTTTTTGTGTCCTTCTATTTCTCCCCTTTGTCTTTTGTTTGTTTTTTCAAGACAAGGTTTCTCTGTGTAGCCTTGGCTGTCCTGGACTCAATTTGTAGACCAGGCTGGCCTTAAACTCACAGCAATCTTCCTGCCTCTGCCTTCCCTGAATGCTGGGATTAAAGGTTTGCAACACCACACCTGGCTTCCCTTGTCTTGTTGTAACAAGATTTCTGGCACTAGATTCAGTGAGTGGACAGAATGGACATCATTTTTAGTTTCTGATTTTAGTTGAAGTGCTTTGAATTTCTCCCCACTTCCTAAATTCCATCTACAGTTTCGTGGTACATAGCTTTTATTATGTTGAGATATGTCTTTTCAATTTGTGGAGTATACAGGGCTTTTTGCTTTGAGGGATCTTGGCTTTTGCCAAATGCTTTTTCTGTACCTATCGGGATGACCTTTGGCCACAGTCTTTCAGTCCACTTTAGTGATATTCTGCATTTGTTGATTTGCATATGTTGAAACAATGTTACATCTCTAGTATGAAACCAGCTTGATCATGATTGGTCTTTGTGATGTAGTCTTGAATTTAGTTGGTGAGTATTTGATTGAGAAGTTCTTCACCTACTTTGATCAGGGTGATTGGTTTGTGGCTTGTTTTTTGTTTGTTTGTTTTTTCCTGTATGTTTATGTGGTTTGTGAATTAAGGCAATGCTGACTTCATAAAGAGTTTGATGATGTTCTTTCCTTGTCTGTTTTGTGGATTTATTTGAGAAGCATTGGCATCAGTTCTTTGGAAGTCTGGTAAAATTCAGCAGTACCACATGTGGGCTGGGGAGGTGTTGAATTTGTAGGTCTTAAGTTACTGCTGTGTAACTTAAGACCTACAAATTGCTATTTTCTCCTTCAGAAGGCACCCAGATGCACCCTCACAGGGTCTTAGTTTGTACCAGGGTGTTCAGGCCCTTTTATCTGTGTGCAGAGGATTAAGAAATGTTGTGGTTTTATTTATTTTATGCTCGATTTTATTTTCAGTTCAGTTTAATGTCTTATGCAGTTTTCTTAGAAGTCCATGGAGGGTGGGATACTCTGGGATAGACCATTCCAAGGTGAGCATGCCAAAAGTGGGCTGACTGTGGGGCATAGACTGTGTTAAAAGTGTGAACTTCTCAGAGGAGTGTGGGCTGTCTCATGCAGTCAGATTCTCCTCTGGTCTGTGTCCCCACATGACAGTGGGGAGGCATGTGAACCTAAGTCCTTTCTCTCTCCATCCTCTGCCACTTTGTAGAACCAAGCTAGGGCTGAATGCCATGCTAATATGGCACTAGCCACAGAGCCTAGAGCCTCTCAGTTATTAAGTATGTTGCCCTCTGCCTTCAGAGGGAGCATGGTCCCAGAACCACTTTCTGATCTAAAAAAACGTTCAGAGGAAAGAGTGAACTGATTTAAACTACTACATCTGAGGTAATAGGTGTCTAGTGACTTCCCTTTCACATTTCTCTAAGTTTTAAGTCTGGTTTGACATATTAATAATTATCAAATGACTCCTCATCTTTTATGTGTAATTGAAAGCCATCATTTTAAATTGATCTTAATTTTTCATTTATTAATTCAAATTATAATTACACATTTTCCCTCCATTCCCTTCTCTTCAACTCTTCCCATGCCCCACTTTCTCATTTGCCCTCAATTTCCCAACCTCCTTATCTCTAATTGCTCATATATGTCATATTTGTGCATAAATATGTAAATACAGCCTACTAAGTCCATTCGGTGTTGCCTGTGGATGATTTCAGGGCTGGTCGTTCAGTTTTGAATAACCAGCTTGGGTACTCCTTCTTTTTGGGGAAAGACTGCTCCCACTCCCAGGATCCCTTAGTTGCCTGTAGTTCTTTGTAGAAGAGTGGGGCTCCCTTAGATTTCCCCCATCCGCATTAGCGTGTGTTAGTGTTAGCATGTCAGTGTTGTTCTTGTTTAGGTATGCTTAGGTAGCCATATTTTTTTGGTATCATTGGTGAAGCCTTCTTGTCATTTCTAGGAGACAAAATTTCACAACAGAGATTTTTTTGGGGGGGGGCGTCCTCTAGATCTTGAATCTATTTGTCCCTTCTGGTATGTTCCCTGAGCCTTAAGTGCTGCAGTTGTATTGAAGATATATCTATCCATTAAGGCTAGGCACTCCCCATCAATTGTAATCTGCATTTTGAACAGTTGCGGCTTTTTATAATGGTCTCTGTCTGTTGCAAAGAGAGACTTCTTTAGGGAGGGCTAGGCACTACATTTACCTGCTTGTCTAAGGGCAAGTATTTAGATTGCAGTTAGGAAATATTCTGGTTTAGGAAAGCATTATAGTAGGTTCTTCTCTAAGATCTAAGACCTTACAAACCTCATGTGGTTGGCTAGGTTTCTAGTACCAGGCATGATTTTCTTCCTGTTGAGTGCATCTTAAATCCAGCTAGATAATTGTTGTCACCAAGAAACAAATACCACTATTAGGCCTTTAGGGAAATCTCATCTTGTTGATCATTGTGGTTCATAGGCTTCAAAGCTGGATATGAGTTTCGGTGGATCTTCCACGTTGGCAGCTTGCGTAGCACGTTCTAGAACTATTAAAGTTAGTCCTCAGGGAGGGGCCTTTCAGGTCATATCCAGTTGTGAGCCTCTAAGTCCTGTGTCTAAACTGCATGGTTCTTCAACAATAGGGGTTTACTTTCAACCTCTGTGAGGTGACTAAGGGCAACAGCAATGGTGTGTATTGTTTGGGAGGCTTTTTGACTCTCCTGACCAACAACTCAAAAGCCAGTTACTGAATTTTTTTTTTAATTATTATTAGATATAGTCTGTAGCTCTTGGAAACTGTTGGGGGTTGTTCTGATGCTGGCCCTCAAGATCTGGTTACTTCCTTGATATACCTATCCTTGTTGTGTAAACCTGCCTAAAGCATAGCAGATTGGTTGATTAAACAGCCTATACTTGGGTGGGGCAGAATGGTGTAGGCATAGCTAAGGTTCCCAGGCTTTGGAGGATGGGAAAGTCATGGGAAAGAGACAGAAAGGAAGAGAAGAGGAAGGAGGACACCACGATGGGTTAATGTGGAGAAGAAACCAAGTGGGCTGGGGGAAAAGACTCCAAGGATGGTGTGGATGGAAAAAAATTACCAAATATAATCAAGTATTTATAAGATTATGGATAGAAAGTCACCCAGATAAAGATGGTTAGGCAGATGGCATTGGGTGGGAGCTGGGAGATAGATGGTGAAGTTATTTAGATAGCTTAGGTAAAAATATCTGCCCCACCCAAAGTAATAAGGCAATTATAAAATCTAACAGGTGTCTGTGTCCTATTATTTGTGATAGTGGATCAAATAATAGCATCTCAATTATTATTGAACTAATAATAAATAATATATAGCCCAACACTCATTTTTTATTTACTACAACAGAAGCATTTTTATCTCATGGTTGAACTTCATCTGAACTATATGTGTAAGTGTATATATATATATATACAATTAAATATATTACATGTAATTTTGGATAAGTAAAGAATAATATGATTCTTTATGGCTTTTCAAGCATTCTTAGTGTTATGTTTTTGTCCTCCTTCCCTCTCCTTTGCATTGACCTTCAAAAATCATGTCACACTTCTCTAGTCCACCTAGAGAGCATTTTCACAGGGCTTCCTTCTTTTTCTGTGTCTCTTTCCTCTCTCCTTTTCTGCTATTTCAAATATCTGACACTAGAAATATAGTACAGACTTGCTGAGTCACTTTGCCTTAAGCCGCAGATCCTAGCGTCCCTCTCATTATGAAAAGAAACGTCTTCTGATAGCTCTTTTCCTACTCTCCTTGGTTCTTTCAGTTGCTTTTTGGGGGTCCTGTCTTCAGGAACTGGCTGCCTTCCTATCAGATGCGGAGTGAGTGGCTCTCTTGCAAACAATGGCGGCAGCAGCTAAAGCGGAGAACAGAGAGTTACCAGTTAGCATCACCATCCACTCCGGAGTTTGACCATCTTAACAGACAGGAGGGGCCTCAGCACAGACCCAGGGCATTTCATATGGTTGTTGGGAGAAGGAAAATGATAGGATTTGATGTGTGTGTAGAAGGCCAGAAACTGAATAAAGGGTAAAACATACAGGGAAGTGGTGAGGACTGGAGAAAAAGCCAGAAAAAAAGAACAGAAAAGCTGCTTTGGGAAAGGAAAGGGATTCTGGTCTCTGAGACCCCTGAGGGGTAGAAAGGACGGCTGTGCAGTGGCAGTTAGTGGTTGACAGGAAGCATTTTGCAGACACACATCTACCCAGTAGTGGGATCTGTTATTATCAGAGTAATTCTCTAAAGCAGTGGCTTGTCTCCACATGGAAGTTTCTCTCTGTACAACCATAACTGAGCAGACTTGGTAGAAAGCCACAGGTACTATGAGGTGGAATTGTGGATAGTTCTGGGACATGCTTGGTGGGAAATGGCACCTCAGGGCAAGTAGGACCCATACATGGCAGCAACTGCTGAGCACGTGTACACGAAATACTTGTACAGACTCTCTGATTCTATATGATCCTCTGACATGCCAGGCTCAGTCTCAGAGCGTCTTTTCCATTTAACAGTTAGAACACAGGCTCTGTAAGAGCACAGCACCCCATGCTGTTCTCATAGACAGCATCCATATCAGAATGCAGAGCTGCCAGTGATCATGGAAGGGAGTCTAATCACAAACTCCAGGACGTAGTGAGGACCGATGTTAGTGTCCACTGTGGTCCCTAAATAGAGACCTGAAGACTGTAGCCCTTATCGTAAGGGAGAAGAGGACTTCTCTTTTGAAGTCTCAGATGAGGTGAGATCCCAGGCCAGATCTAGACTCCATCTGATAAGCACAGCAAGGGAACAGTTCACAGAGGGGACCCGGATGATGGCTTTCCAGATAGCATTGACTTTATTCCATGATGTACTTGTCAGACTTTCCACAAAGCATTACATAGATTCAACTACGTAATTAGTGCTACTTGGGAAGAGAAAGAGAGATTTTTAAGGAATTATTCGGTTGATTGTGTTCAAAGAAGAAAGAGGGGCTGTGCTGGGTATTCAGCCATCAGCCACTGCTCAGAGCTCAATTGTTGACAGAGAAGGAAATGACGAAATGAGTGCCAACAATATTGTTTTGAAATTGGGGGCAGGGGAAGAGGTGAACTCTGACCGTTTGATACCAGCCACAAATGACAGGATCTTTCTAGCACAGAGATGTTAGGCCTGTTTTCTCTGTGTATCAGGAGAAGGTTGTGACAGTAGTGAAGGCATGATTTATTATCCAGTGATTAACTGAAGGTGGGCATTGTGCCTACCAATGACATGCCACTGTACAACGTGACTTGGTGGTAATATAAGATGGAGACACTCCTGTTGGGCCACAGATGTGTAAAGAAGGCTCACCTGTACAGGCTTCCCTGGACTTGGCCATGCAAATTCAGGTGTCTCTGAGAGGACTGTCAGGGCTGCTGCTTCTGCTCCTGCTCTGTGTTCTGCCCTGGGCTCAGAGTGGGAAGGTTCTGGTGGTTCCCATAGAGGGCAGTCACTGGCTGAGCATTGTAAAGGAACTGCATACCTGAGGGCGTGAGACTGTGGTTGTGGCTCCAGATGTGCCTGTGTACATCAAAGAGGAGGACTTCTTCACTCTGAAAACTCATGCTGTTCCATATGTCGAGGAAGAACATGAACACAGCATGCTGAGCCTCTTTCACATGTTCTTCATAACTGAATATTCTCTGACAATGATCCTAAGCAATGTGGAACTTATGAAAAAATGTACCAACATTCTACGTGACCTCTTGCATGAGTCTCCTGCACAGCAAGGGCCTTATGCACCATCCGAACTCCAGTTCCATTGATGTGATAGTAACAGCCTCTCTGTATCCCTGTGGAGCACTGCTAGCCAAGTATTTGTATGTTCCTGCTGTGTTTCTTCTGCGCTTCATTCCTTGTGATGTTGACATTGAAGCTGCCCAGTGTCCGAACCCTTCCTCATATGTTCTAAGGTTACTCACAGGGAATTTAGAGCACATGAGCTTCCTGGAGAGAGTCAAGAACATTCTCTACCCTCTGCTATTCAAGCTCATTTGCCACTTCTCTCTCACTTCTTATGAGAGCCTGGCCTCTGAGCTTTTCCAGAGAGCTTGTCCATACTGGAATTTCTCAGCCATGCATCCGTATGGCTCTTCAGGTTTGACTTTGGGTTTGATTTCCTTAGGCCCATCATGCTTGATATGTTCTTTGTCAGGGGAATGAACTGTCTCATCAGGAAGCCACTCTCTCAGGTCTGTATTGTGCTTTCATCCAAAGCCTGTTCCACAAGATTGGTTTCTAAATGTCCTCATTGTGAGTTGCTCATTTATACACCCTTTTTTCTAGGAACTTTGGCAAGTTAAATCATTAAGATGCCCACAGTTGTTATATCAGGATTTTAGTGTCCAGTGAGAAGACTGGAAGGCAATAGTGAGGGTCTCTGACAGGACTGAGGAGAAGTGCTGGGACTGTATTGAATGTGTACACTAGCTAGACAGTATATTCTGGTCATGAGCTGTCTTGAACCCCAGGAGGACCAAAACTTGCTAACCTTGCTCTCAGGTGTTCACTAGCAGGTTCTGGGATCCAGATGTTGGTCCCATTGTGGAGCTGTTCCTTTATTCACAGTAGGCAGTAAGCCTGGAGTGAACCTGGATATCACACAAAGCTGGGATGGCTTTCTGCTAAGGTTCTAAGCAGTCTGACCTGATGGTCCTTAAGTGCAGCCATTCCCTGGATTGCTTTTCTCCATTCTATATCACCAGCTCCTCACCCTTACCATCTTCTCAGCTTTGCCTTGTATCTGGAAAGAGAAGCAACATAAGGTGTGCTTTCTTTCTTTGGTTCATGTTCCTCATCATCATGGCATAAAAGTTATGATTGCATCAATGTTCCTGCAAATGGCATGATTTACCTTTCTTTATGTCTGCATAAAAGTCCTCTGTGTGTATATAATGACTCTGGGAGGGTCTTTATCATCCCTCATATATAGAACAATATCATGTGCAAATAATGATATGTTGACTTCTTCCTTTCCTATTGCATCTATTTTATTTATTTCTCTTGTCCAGATTCTCTGGCCAGACTTCAAATACTATATTGAATGGGAATGGGAAAAAAGGGAACCTTTGTTTTGTTCCTGATTTTGCTGGAAATGCTTTAAGCCCCCCTCCCCCAATTTGGTATAATGCTAGCTATAGTTTTGTGGTACATAGCCTTTATTATGTTGAGATCAGTCCCTTCCACTGCTAGTTTCTTTGGGGCCTTTGTGGTCAAATGAAGCCTCAGTTGCCCCAACCTTTCCAGCATCTGTTGAGGCGTTCATGTGATTTTTGTTTTTTGTCCATGTATGTGGTGTATTATATTTATTTTATTGATTATCCTAGGTTGAACCAAATTTGCACACTGGACTGAAGCTGGCTTGATGATGGTAAATGATCTTTTTGAAGTATTCTTGACATCACTTTGCAAGTGTTTTATAGCTAACATTTGCATCTCTGTTAATCGGGGAGTTTGGCCTTTGATTTTCTTTTTGTTGCTGTTTTTACTGGTTTTGAACTTTGTGAGAAGACTTTGGCAGTGTTCCTCCCCTTTCAGTTTTTAGGATGGTGTTCAGTTTTCTTTGAATGGCTGGTAGAATTCAGCTGAGTCTGGTTTATTTTTTTATCAGGAGAGTTTCTAATCCTGCTTCTAAATCTTATTGCAGATTTGTTTAACTTATTCTGTCATTGTGGTTTAATGTCAGTGGTCACCTACCTCCAGAGAGCCTTCCATTTCTTGTAGATTTCCCATCTTAGCAGAGTATGAGCTTCTAAGTTAACCCCTGATAATTTTCTGAATTTAGTTGTTGCTAGCTCTCATGGCTTCCCTTTTCTCTAATTTTATTAATTTATGTCTTCTTTTTCTTTGGTTAGTTTGGCAAAGGATTTGTTGATTGTATTTTTTTTCAAAGAACCAACTTTTTGTCTCATTGATTGTAATTTTTTTAAAATTATATTTCATTTCTTTCTGCTCTGATCTTATTTCTTACTATGTACTAATTTGGGGTTTGGCTTTTTTCTGTTTTCTGGGGCACAAGGTGTATCTATTACTTAATTGAGAGCTTTCTCTCTCTCTAGGCAGCTATAAACTTGTAGGTATAAATGTCCTTTTTAGGACTACTTTCATGTTGTCCTATGGATTTTGGCACAGTGTGTTTCCTTTTCCATTGAATTCTAGGAATTTCAAATTTTCGTTACTGATTTTTTCAGTGGCCTGGTCATCATTCACTGGTGTGTGATTTTGCATGTGTTCTGTTGTTTATCTTGCTGTTGATTTTGTAGTTTTATTCATTGTGTTCAGGTAGAATACCAAAAGTTATTGCAGCTTTCCTACATGAATTAGGACTTGCTTGGTATCCTATTATATAATTTATTTTTAAGAAAGTTCCAAGGGGCTTCTGAGAACATTGTGCGTTCTGCAGTGTTTGGATGCAATGTCTTGTAAATGCCTGTTTCATTCGTTTGATCTATGATGCCATGTAAGTGATATCCTTCTGTGTGTTTTTCTGGTTAGGATGACCTTTGTATTGGTGAGTATGGGCTCCTGAAGTCACCCATTATTGTTTTGGGATTAATCTTTACATCTTGTATTGTTTGTTTTATGAAATGAACTCTTGATAGCCTCCAGGGAGCAGTAGCAGGCCACAGGGGATTTGTTAGTAGAGAGATGATAAGAGAAATTGTTCCTTGATAATGAGACAAAAGGTTAAGACAGTAATAAAAGCCAGGCTTATATATTCTGCAATGATTAACTCAAGGAGGGTACCGTGCCACCCAGTGACTTTATATTTGGACTCGGGAATAAGATGAGGAAATAACTTAAGCAGCTTAGACAGTAAACAAGTTCAACTGCTGTGGATTTCTCCAGCGTTAGCAATGGGAACTCAGGTGTGCCTGTGTCAGAAGCTCTTGGGGCTGCTGCTCCTGCTGTGTGTCCTGCCCTGGGCTGAAGGTGCGAAGGTGTTGGTGTTCCCCTTAGAGGGCAGCCACTGGCTGAGCATGAGGGATGTTGTGAGGGAGCTCCATGCCCGAGGCCACCAGACTGTGGTCCTGGCTCCAGAAGTGTCTGCGCACATCAAAGGAGAGGACTTCTTCACCCTCAAAACCTATGCCATTCTGTACACGGACGAAGAATACAAGTACCGCCTGCTGGGCCACCTTCAAAATTTTTTTGAACGTGAATTTTCTCTGACGTTGCTTTTAATGGATACGGTGGGTGTAAATAATATGTCAACATTCTTTGTAAAGTCTTGCATGACAGTGCTCTGATTCAGCATCTGCACCCCAGTTCCTTCGACGTGATTTTAACAGATCCCTTTTACCCCTGTGGGGCAGTGCTGGCGATGCACCTGAAAGTTCCTGCTGTGTTTTTCCTGCAATCCGTTCTCTGTGAACTAGATATTGAGGCAAGAAAATGTCCAAGCCCTTCTTCTTATGTTCCCAGGATACTCACAATGAATTCTGACCACATGAGCTTTCTAGAAAGAGTGAAGAACATGCTGCACCCTTTGCTATTTAAGAGTTTCTGCCGTCTTTATCTTGGTCCTTTGGAAAGACTTGCATCTGAGCTTTTGCAGAGAGAGCTTTCTGTGGTGGATATCCTCAGCTATGCATCCGTGTGGCTATTGAGAAAGGACTTTGTGTTCGACTACCCCAGGCCCATCATGCCCAACATGGTCTTCATTGGGGGCATAAACTGTGCCAACAGGAAGCCACTCTCTCAGGTCTGTATTCAGCCTTTATTCAAATGAGTTTCCAGCAAGATTGTGTTAAAAACAATAAAAAAAAAAAAAAAACAACGTGAACTGAAATTACTGAGTTGCTCGATAACCCACTCATTTTTCTAGGGTTTCTCTCTTTGTAATTCTTCTAATTGTCTTTGGTGAGTTAAGTTCTTAAGGCATTCAGTGTCGCTACTTCAGGTTTTTAGTGGTCATTGAGAACTGGGAGCAATACTCAGAGTCTCTACTAGGACTGAGGAGCGATGGTGGGACTCCGCTGAGCCTGCCCACTGGCTAGGATGGTGTCTTAGAGATGAGGTTTCTTTTTTAAAATACTTTTTATTTTTAAATAATTTTATACATTCACTTGTATTCCAGCTGTATCCCTCTCCCTCTTTCCCTCCCAATTCTCCCCTCCCTCCTTCATCTCCTCCCTGCCCTCTTTCAAGTTTACTGAGAGGGGGTGAACTTCCTCTCCTTCCATCTGGTCCTAGCTTGTCAGGTATCTTCAGGATGGTTGCAATGTCCTTATCTGTGGCCTAGCAAGGCTGCTCCTCCCTTGGGGGGGGGGAGGTGAAGCTCAATGAGCCAGACATTGAGTTCATATCAGAAACAATTTCTGTCCCCCTTACTAGGGAACCCACTTGGATACTGAGCTACCATGGGCTATGTCTGATCAGGGGTTGTAGGTTATATCCATGCATGGTCCTTGGTTGGATAAACAGTCTCAGGGAAGACCCCTGTGCCCAGATATTTTTGGACCTTGTGGGGCTCCCTGTTCCCTCTAGGTTATACTAATTCCTCCTTCCTTCATATGATTCCCTACACTCTGCTGAAGGCTTAGTTATGGGTCTCAGCATCTGCTTTGATACACTGCTAGGTAGAGTCTTTCAGGTGCCTTCTGTGGTAGGCTACTGTCCTGTTACTTGTTTTCTCCTATTTCCAATGTCCATCCCGTTTGTCTTTCTAGATGAGGATTGATCATCTTACCTCTGGACCTCTTTCTTGTTTATCTTCTTTAGGTGTACATATTTAAGTATGTTTATTCTATCTTATAGATCTTGTATCCACTTATAAGTGAGTATATACCATGTGTCTCTTTCTGCTCCTGGGATATCTCACTCAGGATGACTTTTTCTAGATCCCACCATTTGCCTGCAAAATGAGATGAGGTTTCTTGAATCTGGGACCAGAGAAGCTGGGCCGTGAGCTGCCCCATCAAAAGGAGTGTTGTTCTCAGACTCTCCCTAGCAGGAGAATCTGCAACCTAGCCAGCTGCAGTTGTTGACAAGATGGTCTTCCACTGTGAGGAAGGAGTGGTGTGTGTTCACAGGGGGCCTGTCGCTCAGTTGGTGTGGAAGCAACCTCATGGCTCTTTCCCTTTTATAGCATGGCTACCTTTGGGTAAGCCACATTTCAAGCACTCCATTGTCATGTGATTGTTGCATGGTCACTGTGAATGTTCCGGTGATCGTACATTTTCATGTTTTGTGTATAAGAACTTGTGTCTGAATCTGCCCAGTTCCCAAGTAAATGCCTAGTACTGGTGTTTGCTTAAGTTCTGCATTTTAATGGTTTTGCCCTGTACACCAGGCAGTTAGATTGGTGAACAAAGGTTAACAGTAGTTTGATCATATGGCTCTCATCTCATCACTGAATGACCTAATTACCTACTTACCTAAACCATAATACTGTTTTCTTTCGTCATTACATTACTTAACCCTTTGCCTCTAATTAAGCATTTATTAGAATTTTCCTTAAAATTTCAACTTTTAAAATCTTCAATCTGGTAGTATCTGTTAGTATATATCTGAATTTCTTTCTCCTATTTTATGCAATCTCAGATTTCCTCTTCTCTTTCTAATTGTGGAATCCAGTGACTCCCACGGAGATATGGTGTGTTAAGTTCAAAGCTCTGACTCTCCTGTGTAACTACTGAGAACCCTTTGATGACATTGGGTTTTCCAAGTGGAAGGGAACCATATCCCTACCACCTGTAGCGGTATCAGCAACATTGATCTTCCAATGAAAACAACACAGTCCTGAGTTCTACAGACTTGGGGGGATGACTGTGTTGTGCAAGGGTGGGGGAGCTCTTGTTTAGCACACAGCAGGTTCACTCTTCATGAAGTGAACCTAGATCCTACACAAAGCTAGGAGGACTGTCTGTGAAGGCACTGAGCAGTTAGCACCAATGTTTTCTGAAGATCACCTGCTCTCCCTAGTTTTTGTTCTTCAGCTACCATCACCTCTCTTTACCCATGTCACCTCTGTTTTGCCCTATGTTCTCAGAGCAGCAGATTTAGAAGAGCATGTTTTAGGTACTAAATCTGTATTCTTCATGGTCAGTTTTCCAAATTGGTCTTGAAAGTGAATCTCATAGATTGTGTGTGTGTGTGTGTGTGTGTGTGTGTGTGTGTATCTTTTTTAGTATGTTAGCAACTGCAATCATTCTCAATAAGTAATTTTGCTTTAATAAATTCCAAGGTAATGAATTCTTCTGAATTATATAACATTGAACACTTCAAATGATGCATCATCTCAGGCTATATGTAAATATTCTCATTTTCTACCCTCCAAACAAAAGAAGGAGGCCACTTTCATGACTTCCATCTTGGCCAAGCTTAATTTTGAGAGGAATAAAGGCAAAGAATAGTCTCGTATTGTATGGTGTTACACTGACAAGAAAAACAGGATCTGTTTACACCAAACCAAAAGAACTGTAGCTCAGGTGTTGGGGCCAGTCTCATTGAACAGCAGGCATCTATACGTTCTCAAAAGGAATGTTAACACATTGTTTCATATTTGTCTTCATTTTAAAAGGCATCCTCACAGAAAAGCTGCATTTCAAAGAAGGATAGCCTGGAAAGTGATATCTATATTCTTCATTGGTGTACGTAATGTCACAGGTTCTCACCCGTGTCCTGACTCAAGTAGACATATATTGCTTTCAAATTTTCAGTAGCAAGATAAAGGAACTTTTTACTTTAACAATGCTCCCAGTAGGGTGCATGCTTCCACTGTACCTGAGGCTGTAAACGGAAGCCTAGCAGGTAGCCTCATTTATATCTCAGCTTGGCTTTTACTGGCTATCTTTCAGGTGTTCCAGAGTCATGTGGTTGCTGTGTGGTTAGTGTTTTCAAATGGTCTGTGGCTGTATCCAAATTGTCACATTTTTATGTTTTGTATGTCTAATGCATTTCTGAGTTTCCTCAGTTTCAAAGGAACTGATAATTATGATATGGACTTCAGTCTGGTTTCATTACATTGCCCTCAGCAGTCAATTCGTATGAGTGAGCCCTGGATCTCATTCAAAGCTGGAAGATTTTCTTTGCTAAGGCACAGAGAACACTGGTCTGCCCTCTTCCTTCAGACTCTCCCAAGGTAGCTATGAACTGGACCATAATTTTGGCTGACAGCAATGGACTTTATCTGATGTGTACGGTGCCTCATCACCCAAGTGAAAGCTAGCTCTTTTGTCAAGTTGCTTTGATCTCTGTCCTCTGGACATCACAGTGAATTGGGTATCAAATCCTTTTGCTATTTCCAGCACCTGTGGCAATTGTGAAACCAAGTTAAGATAGAGTAACAGACATAACATGGGGCTAGCCAATCCTGAAATTTTGAGGTTTTCACTTATATTTTGGACCCAAGCTTTCAGATAGAGGATAGTCTTGGTGCACTGATATGCTTTTGTTGGGAGAGAATAAATGTGGACTGATTTTCACCACTAAGGTTTTAATAATTTGTTGGAGAAATGATAGGGATATAATTATACCCACTCTGTTAGGCTACTTGTTTGTTTAAGACAGTCTCATTACAGTTTAGGTTGACTTGGGACATGCTATGCAACTGATGATGCCTTTGAACTCCTAATCCTTCTGCTCCCACATTCTGGAATTACAAGAATGTACCACCATGTCCAACTAAATTAAACTATTTTTAAAAAGCCAAGTTGATAGTGGTCAACTATTTTTAAATAATTGAAATTAAATAATATATTTGATAATTACATAGTAAATGAGAGCCATTTTTAATTTGTTTACCTCAGAGTATCGTAAGTACTGCTGAAATTACAGGCTATTTCAATTTCCTCTTCATTTTTTACTGCAAAGTTGAAGAATAAACTGTAGCTTTTTCCAAGGAAGATACTTGACACAGATTTCAAAAAAAATGGAAGGGGAATAAAATCTTAAGGTGCTGAGGTGATCAGTTTTCCAGGAAATAATATGGTTTGCCTGGGCAGTAGTTTAATACTAAAGGGCATGCAGGTGTTCACAAAAATTTAAAAGACAAATAAAGTCAAGACTGTTAAAAACTCCAGTTTTTGCCATAGGTAAGTCTCCTCATGAGTCTAGTTGAGATGTAGGGTTCTGACCATGCAGATTCAACAGCATACCCATATTGAGTTGCTACCTAGAATACTTCTTCATGCCTAGGATCTGGCTCATGGGTATGTTGAGGCTCTGAGCACAGAACAGACTTTCACAGTGAGGGGAGCCGTCAACGCTGCCCTGCCGTGGTCTTCCATAGGCGTCCTCCACAGTCACACTGGCACAGGAGCTGTGGAGAGGAGACCCCCCCCACTCCAGGAGGTCTCCTCTTCCACTAGATGGGATGTTGGGAGTGTTCTTGCTAATGCTGAGAGCAGAAGCTGAAGCAGCAACCACAGGTTTCAGGTTCTGACCTCTCAGCAGACCTGCTCCATCCATTCTCTTCCTTCTATGGGCATGACACGGGCAGGTGTGGCCACTGCCTTGACTCAGCTAAGTCTGTATAGATAGCCATAGATGGGAAACAATGGAACCTGATGTGAGGTAAAGCATACAGGTGCAGCAGAAGAAAGCAGGGAAGTAATAATAAAAAAGAAACCGCAAAGCATTGACCTGGGCTCCTGGTCTCCACAAAGGGTAAAATGCGAGGGCTTCTTACACACTGTGGTAGTGGCAGCACACGGGAGGCATTTTCATGTACACATCTGCCCAATGCTGAGGCTGCTGCCAGGTACTAAGGATGTGGCTCTGATGTAGAGAGAAATCTTACTTTGGACAACCATG